GAAACAGCGAAATAAAAGAGGATAGGTGCATGCCTTTTCCGGGCCACTCATTGATCTACACGCCATCCGGTATACTAGTGGGTCCAGATCTCAGGGGTTTCCCTCGTGTCCGTCGATGGAGTGTGAACGGATCTCGCCTTGACGATATCCAAGAACACGATGTGGTCCTCGGCGATCGGCGTGTGCGGCGGGTGATCGCAGAACCCCTTCCCGCTCTTGATCACGAGGTTCCCCGCATCGACCATGGACTTCAGTAGTTCGGCACGCACGTGGCGGTTGTCGATGTCCAGCGCGACATCGAGGCCGACGCCGTCCAACATTTCGAAGACGCCGCGCTTGACGCCGAGCACCCGGGAATAGCGACAAAAAAAAATTCGGTACCAGCGTGGTGGCAGAGAGGGAAAGGGGCGAGGCTGGGGCCACTGGAATGGCGCCCGAGATCCAGGTGTTCAATGCAGGGAGCCAACACCCACACCCACACCCGCGCGAAGATCGGAAAGAAAAAACCTGCAAGGGTAGGCACGTTATTTGTTGATGACTTCGCATGGGCTCGCACATCCGCTTGGACTTCGCCGGCCGTGAACCTTTTTTCAGGATTTGTCCACCCACGACGTCCCAGCCGCCGATTAAAAGCGAGCCGCGAAATCGCGACCCCATTAACATGGGCGGCAGAGCTTCGACGAGGGAAGTGAATGTTTATGTGGACGTCCGGTAAAAGTCTTCGCGTGTGTGTGTACGTTGCTGGTAGAGCAGAAAATAGAGAAGCAGCGCGTGCGACGGGCAGCGGAAGCGAGAAACGACCAGCGACCAGCAACCAGTGGGTGGCGACACGTGCACGAGCAGCGAGTGGCGGGTATTGCGCGACGGGGGAGGTGCATGCGATCAGCGGACGCGCCGTCTTCGGCGATGCGCACGCTGCCAGTGGGCAACGAGAAGAGGTGCAGCCGGCGACTGCGATACGCATAGGAGCGTGCGGCCGAGGATCGCGCTGGCTAGGATTCAATAATAGTCAGACTGAGAGAAAAACAATCAAAAAGTGGCGTACATGTATGCACCGATTTACAACGCCCGCTGGTCCTCCTCGCCTCCCTGCACTCTCTTGCCATCTATTTCGACCTTCTAGCCGTTTGGGACGTCGTTGGCACGCTGCCGACAAGCGGGCGATAGGCAGTCCCGGAGGAGATGCAGGTTCGGATCAAGCCGCCGTTCTCACATGATACTCACGTGCTCCGCTGGGTCTCCGAGCGGCTCGCCGGACCGGAGACAGGCTTGCTCCGAACCTAGAGGAGATGTAGTCTCCCGTAGTCAGACCATAAATCAATTGTTTTTTTGAGGTGGATGGGAAAAAACTTGATTATGGTCTGATTGTGTTCGCGCCTCTGATACCGTCGGTCGAGGTTCGGGAACTGCCGGTTCCCAATCTGGCAATGATTTCCGAATTGAGAATGTGACGCCAGGTTGACGTCCCCGTGACTTTACCAGCACCGCGTTGACACCGAACCAAGTCGCGTCGTTCTTGCCCGCTACTGGATGGACGGCGAAGACAACACGTCACAATGGGTCGTCCCGCTCACCCCTCACCACCGCACCACATCCAGCTCCTCCAGTATGGACAAGTACAGCCCTGCAGGCCAATTCTTCGTGTCAACGGCTCCTTCTGCACCTTTCGACGAAAGACCCTGGAACACAACTCCATCCCAATCATTTTCATTCAACAGTATTGAAACACCACAATCCGGCGTGACACCGTATACCTACAAGAAGCGGCGCCGCCAGAACTTCGAGGTCATTGATCATCACGGCGGAAATTCCGAGTTTACCATATTCTCGTCCTGGAATCCATTAGTTTCCGGTGCGGGAAAGCGAACACATCCAAGGTGCTTACCATTTGCTGTTCTATTGAATTGGTAGGGCACACGACGACAATCACAGGATCTTTGGGGAATGTCACCGTCGGACAGAGTGATGGATCCGCGGTGATGGCAATCATAACAAGTATAGTCAAGAAAAGGAATCCTGTTTTGCCAGATCCAGTCGGGGTAAAGGCAACCAGGTCTATCTTGTCGAGAACTTTGCAAACTCCCTCCATTTGGTAGCTGTGCGGCTCAAAAGTCGGAAGAGCGGAGAGCAGGATCTTTCGGACCAGCGTAAAGCCCTCGGGAGAGGAAAATGTGAATGCATGGGTAATTGCAGCACCCCAGAGCAAGAAAACCGCCTGAAGAAGCCACGGTGGCAGCATTGGCACGAGGATGTCGTGAGCGTGTCTGAGTGTGTGTGGTGCTGTTATTCGGTCACATATTTTTTATTACTCCGAAACCTGACCGCCTACATCAGGCCATCAAAGAAATCTAGACTAGAGGAGATGGTGGTTGAAGAAGAAAAAAGGATTGTGACACGTGACGACATGACGCGTTCACGTGAATCACATGCTCCAGAGTGCGAGGCAAGTGCCTTGCCCAAAGCCCTTTGTGGTAGGATTATGACATCATCTGCACCCGCGTCGACACTGACAACTTGGGGCTCCTTGATCTTGCCAGCGGCTCTTCACCCAGCCTTACATTCGAGTTGCCTTGGGATTATGTGCTCTCGCCGACTGAACAATGCCAAGCCAATTCCAAGCAGAGAGTAGAATTGTTTAGCCGCCGATGCGGGCCAACTGGAGCGCGGTAAACCTGTGCTTCCCGCAGCAGAGACCAAGATGCTGGAACCAAGGATGAAACCTGATCCATGTCCCAAGCGTTGCCAGTGATATTTAGGAAGACTTTTTAAGATCCAGGGTAAACGATTGGTACGGGATTCAAGGGTGCACCGGCATTCAAAAAAATGCACTAGGGCCGAACTTTTTTTTCAGACCTCTCCGCTGGACCTACCTACCTCGATTCGGCCCCATTAGGAAATAGCCCCCATGTTTAGTCGCCGAATCACCCAAAACTTGGCCTGTACATCACATAGCATGAAAATACGGGTTAAAAATATTACAAGAAGGCTGCTAAATATAATATGTGTCCAATGCCCAACAACATAATCAAGGTGACAATGTCAACACTGGTTGCTTGTCGTACAAACACGTACCTTGCACGTACCATTGTGTTTGCTGGCGGATCAGCGATTAAAGCTCCAGTCAAACAGGTACAAGTTGAAGCCACTGCCATATGTACAGCGCTTTGCATAAGTTCGTGAAAAACGCGAAAAATGAATCGAGATCACGTGGCTGATGTAATCCGTTGATGTGACCGTTACACCTCTGTTTCCTTACTCCCACCTTTCCTTTGGCGTGTTGTACCCCTCGTTTAAACATTGTACGGACTGTCAGGCATTTATCTTCTGCTTCTGGTCGGCTCTATCCCTGCTTCTGGTCGGCTCTACAAGCTCTTTCTGGCCATGGTTTTATGTCAACGCTGGTCCGCCCCGACGGCACACTTGGCCGTTCGCTGGCACTTTCTTTACACTCCTGCGATATACAGCCGTAGGACCCGACAATTTTGAAACAAACATTATAGAGGTCCGTGCACCAGGAGGGCCTATAATAATGCCGGGCGATGGCCTAACATCATTCCTCATTCCCTAGATCATATCTGGTGGGCGACGCAGCTTGGGAAACCCCACCCATGCTACTCAAGGCCCCGCTTTCCATGAGCTTCTTGTTGTGCCGACTTTCACTCCCGAGCTCGCTCGAGCGAATGCCACGGATAAATGCTGCATGCTGAATACATGGGGTGTTTACAGGGGACCTCCTATGGGTTCGTTGAGCTGTTTTGTTACCCACTGCACTTTCATCAAGGGCAATGACGAGATCTGTGTCGAGATATTGCGCCATTTCGGCCTCCCAAAGCATACGGAGCACGTCATCTGTAGAAGTACGATAAGTACAAGTCCTCAGTCGTACCCAACAAGTGGTAAGAGACTCTATACCTGTAGAAGTACGATAAGTACAAGTCTGTACGTAAATACGTAAGTATGATCTATAAGTGAAAGAAGAGATATGCGCACCCTCAGTCGTACCCAACAAGTGGTAAGAGACTGAGGGGCGTCGAGGCGTATCCGCACCATTTATATGGTGCGGATACGATCGTCATCAAACAAACACAAAATAAACAAAGTATATGAAATATCACCCTTCCATAAACGGCAGCGAAACGCCAAATACCTCACAAGACAAACTCACGCGTCAACATCATCCTGTTCAACCGCTTCTTTGGTGAGCTTCTTTCAGCTCAACTGAAGATCAACAAGGGCACGGCTGAGAGTGGCAAGTGATATCTCCACATTCCAAACTGTCTGCAGCTCATCAAGAAAGAGAGTCGGATTGGCATCCAAGATCGCAACGAGATAGTCGAGATCACCGTCGTTCAAGATTTTGGGGTGGCCAGTGTATTTGCTGAGTGGGTTAGTAACCTTGGCGGTCGAGATTTATCGTCTTCGATATGAGGCCAATAGACACTTGTGCGTGTAGGTGCCAGTGAATGCCCTCCATGCTGTATTTGTCCTTGAAGTATTACCACTTGTATGATGTGTTGCTTCAGATCAGCAGAATCTTTGGGGGCCATGGGAGGATAAAAGATAATAAATTGATTCATTGATCTGGTATATATGGGACATGCGCACTGAGGCTTGTGTGCGAGGCAGAGCAAAGGCAGAGGTGTAACGGTCACATCAACGGATTACATCAGCCACGTGATCTTGATTCGTTTTTCGCGTTTTTCACGAACTTATGCAAAGCACTGTAAGTTCTAAGCTTATTGTGTGTCAAGATACACTTTACCACTGTGCTTTCAACGAATCTAGCTTGCCATGAATATGGACTGTTGCCGGGCATTTTCAATGCCCATGTTCCGACTCTAAATTTTACTGCACAATGCAGAAAGGTTACCAGGTAGACAACATATCATCCAAGTCGATATTCAAACTCCAAGTGGATTGATAGCTCTGAAACTTGCGAGAGAGATCTTCAAGTTTGTGATTGTGGTAAAAATAAATCAAACAAAGAATTGCCTTTCACATGCATCAGCCAGGAGTCGAACCCGGAGCTAAGCCATTACATAATCGATAGATTACTTCCCTATGGGAAGACTTAATGTTGAACCGCTACACCACTGATGCCTGACAGCGGTTATGGCCAGCAGTACTAGATGTGCAGAATGACCTATACACGTGACCTGGCCGGAACAGTGAACATATTTTATACTCCTGTATCCTTCTGAGAAGACCTGCACTGTATGTAATGTAATCTGACAAGTCTTAACATGTTCTGGACACATTTCAAGGCAAAAACATAGTGGTCTCAATTTTTTTTTTCAGGCCTGGTGGCTGGACCTACCTACCAGCCCTTAGTCGCCGGTTTAAATGCCGGTGCACCCTTGACGGGATTCTACGTTTTGTCTCAGATTTTGCTTTTTCAGATCCGACCTGACTACGCTCGGCAGCGCGGATCCGGGGTAAACGGCACGCTGAGAGTGAATTTACCTGGTTGAGATGTGCTCCCTTACTCCAAAAAATCATAATGTAAACTTTATCGTGAAAAAGCCGTTACAGTGCGGCAGGCATTGCGAACTGTAGCCCAAACCTGGCTCGGTCTTTCCATTAAAAACAAATTAAGTGTTAACCTAAACGTGCAATCGAACAACTCTGTCAGCGTAGGTCTTGACTACCCAATGAGGCTCCTCAGGGGCTGTAGTAGCACAGTCCGCCTATGTAGCAGAACCCTACTTTGTCCAAAAATTGTTTCAGAATTCTGCTAAATTTAGGGTCGTGAAATGAATGAGCACCCTACAAGTAGAAGGAACACCTAGATGGGCCAAATTATAATACATGTTGCTTATATAATGGCATGAGATGTACCCGAACGCTCACACCGGGGGCAATGACCGATGCATATGATTTTCATATGTGTTAGATGCATATGCTTCGCATATGATGTGACATGTCACAAGGGTCTTTGTTAGATACATATGCTTTGTTTCCCAAGAATGACTTAGAAATTTATTAAGTTAATACAAATGTAAGATATAATCTAAGATCAGACACAAATAATATTGGGAATTGACATGGGTTTCCTTTGTGCAAGATGTAACACATATGCCATTGTCAGTGTCACGTGACAAGGCAAAGGCATCCACCAAGGGGTACCCGCCGGAGAATGCCGAGACACCGGGTAGGTGGGTGGGTGCCCCGGCCGACCTCTTAATTCACTTTTTGGACAAAGCTGCGGAACACTTCAAAAACGTGTTTGCGAGGGTCAGGGAAAATATATATATTTTTAGCACCAGAAAAGTAGTAATTCTCGGGATTAGAAAGATGTTTGAAATTTCTGCCTATTGTATATGGCGAGACTAACAGCAGTTCAAGTTCCATTGGGCTAAGCACAGCTCCGGCAAATGGATGGATCTGCAGCGGTCTCCACCAGAGTTAGATTCGGAGATTATAGGGGAGATCCCATCCGTGAATATACCAAAAAACAATGTGATTGTACCAAAAACATTTTTCTTTGGTCTGAAATTTCCTTTTGGGGAAGTGCACGTGACATTACGACAGTCTGTCTCAGACTGTCTGTGTCTCCCAGCTGCTTAATTCACTTTTTCGACCTAGTGTCGAGGATTTCTTTTGTGGGTACCCCTTGGCATCCACGTTACGCCTTGCACAAAGAAAACTTGAATCAAGCCTCGATATTATTTTTATTCACTCTTAAATTACAGTGACAAACTGGGTACCGAAACAAACAAGGCAATCCGTGAATTGCGGGCTCGGTTGATTACGTATAGCTACATTTTTTTTTGTAAATCCGACAAGGAGTATTTAGGCTGGGGCTACGCAAATTTTCTGCGTGAACGGTGCACTGGGCGTCCCAAACGAGCGTGATTGGTCTGAAGGTCCGATTTAGGCCAAATATGGGGATCCGAAACAGGCCGCCAAAATGACATACAACCCCGGGTTTCTTCACACATCCATCCCAACAACCTCGATAGCGACCATGGAACGTCCCACAACAGCAAAATGCGGCTGCCAATGAGGCAAACAAGGAACAGAGAATCAGAGAAGCGGTGGAAATGTTGGCAGGAGGTGACGCAGAGTATCGGACAGCAGCGAAGACGAACTTATGGCGGGTTTCGATGGAGAGCCACCGGGAATCGTTTTGGATGACGACGATTATGTGGAACGTCTCTCTCGCAGCAAACGGGCAGCTACTGAGGATATTGGTGCCGATGTAGGGCGGCCACGACACTCCAAATCAATTGAATTTGTAATTCACTGTGTTTTCTTGACTTCACACACTGTAATAACACTCATACATTGTTATCTTTGCAATTTTGGACGACCTGCTGCCTCTACTTGTCGTTGTTTCACTGAAAATGAGGGAAAATGCGCTCTTTTTCATGAAATTACCTATTTAGGCTACGATCAAGGTCGTGGGAATACCACCATCGTTTCCGGCGACCTCGAAAATGGGGGTGTAGTGTCTTTCCAATGTATCTCTGAGCACTCCAAGCCCAAATCTAGGCCCTGTTTCGGTACCTAGTGGGTTTCGGTACCCGGTTTGTCACTGTATGTCATATATTTACACTAACTTTGTGGTCTTTGTGTTATCCTTAGCAACCGAAACACCTTTTCTTCAATGAATACTTTGTTACATGTCACAGTCATATGCACACCATATGCTTCTAACGCATATGGGAACCATATGCATCGGTCATTGCCCCTGGTGTCAACACCATTATGCTACCTACCTACCTACCTACCTACCCACCAAGATGGTTCTGACCCTTAGGGAGAGCGAAACCGGGTTGTTTGAGATAATGGTTTGCAGAGTTATCAGAAGCAAATGAACAAAACTATAAAATACCTCTCGATTTGATATTGAGAAATACTCTGTCCAGACCATACATATTCTGCGAAGGTCTGTTGTCACTATCGGAAGAATCCCCGTTATCATCAGTGATCTCGAATGATGTTGGTAAGGCTCCAACCATTTAGTTTTTTGTTTAGCTGGGCCTGTAAACTAAATGTAAATGGTATGTAAACAGTTTATAAACAGTTTACATAAAAATGGTTTATAAACAGTATTTTTGAGCGCAAAAAAAAAGACCAAAAAAACATAGTAACTAGCCTCGACCACAATCCAAGGTTGCTGCCTTCAACAAGCCGCCAGCCTTCCTTTATCCACAAGTTCAGGAGCATCACCTTCGTAATTGTATAGGATTTAAGTAATCGAGGCCCGGGTCTCCCCAAGGTCTCCCGGCAGAGATGCCGCATGCGTGTGGTCACACTCACTGGGTCACATATCATGCTAGCCGTCGATGAGTGGGTGCCAAACAACGATACACCGCCAAAGAGCCGTCAGGCACCAGCCAGCTGGCAACTTCAGCTGGGATCAGCCAATTCACCAGCTGGTACCAGCCAGTATCCATGTGGTTGCCAGCTATTTTCTCCCAGGCGCAAATACAGCTGGCTTCCAGCTTAACAGCCAGATGCTTCGCAGCTTTCCTGACAGCTGCCAGTGGATCGCCATAAAATGTCGTTGAGTGGCATACTGTAGTATTTCATTCAATTAGTACCAATTTTTCATGTTCGAAATTTTCTCGAAAGTCACAGTCTCCAGAGCCCAAATCGTCGATGCCGAAGCTTGCCGACATTATTTGAATGAAATACTACACTAAGTGAATTATTATCCTTGCACCACTCATCAAAACATATCTGTCTGAAACATAAAACTTAGTATACAATCGCGAGGTGTGATGAGTCCAAATTGCCGCACGAGATCAAGTCTTTCAAACTCCGACTGAAAATGGCGTGACTTTTCCTTTGTTGATCATCAGGTGACACGTTGACTCACCCACAACCTTCCATTGACCTTCCATTGCCTCGCTCGCTCGCTCGCCCAACGCCCCACTGGCTGCTGCCTGTCTATCCACGCACCTGCCCGCTCGCTTGCCTGCGCCCCCAACCCCCCACCGGATCGCTTGCCCCTCGCTTACTCTCTGCTCGCCGACTCGGGTTGCCTGTGCCGCCTGCCCACTTGCCCTTGTCCCCCCCTGCCCCCGCTCCGCTGCCTCGTCCACCTGCCCGTCTGCCCGCTCACTCGCCCCCCGCTTGTCCGCGCACTCGCTTGCTCGTGGCCCCCGCTCGTCTGTGCGCTCGCTCGCACCCCGCTCGTCTGCCCGCTCACTTGCCTCCGCGCACTTGCTCGCTTGCGGCCGCCTACCTCAACCCCACACTCTTTATCTTACCATCAATTTCTGCGGTTATCGCCGTCGCCATCGCTCGCTCAGCCCAAGCCTTGATGCAGAACTCTCAAATCCAAGCCCCAACACTTTCCGAGTCACTCTCCCTTGCATCTCGCTCAGCTGCTCCCTCGCACGTCACACTCCTCACACTGCCACTGCCCAATGCTCGAGTCGAGCATCACCAAATCACCAAATCCTCAATCATAAAGTATCTGTCTTCAACACCCACCACAAACGCACCAAGCTGCTAGAAGCTGCTCAAGCCTGAGTCTGTCAAACTTCCGCTACAACAGTCAAAGCCGTCAAGTCGCTGGAACTCGTCAGGCCACTCAAGCATCAAGTTCCGTCAAGCTTGAGTAACGATGCCAAGGTCGTGCGGTGCGTGTATCATTTTGTGTGCCATGATCTATCACTGACCGCTGTCCTTCAGCGCGTTCTGGACCATCTTGAAGAACAACCGTGATCTGCACAGCAACGACAAGTCGGCAATCCCTGAGGCCACCCACGATCCAATTCAGACGGAGGTCAACAGCGTCATCAATGCAGTGACGATGGACGTGGCGACGTCGGTGGGGGCAGACGGCGATGCGGCCTATGCCAATGAGTAATGCACATGTATATACGTAGCCGGCCCACGAAAAATGCAATTCTTTTTTTTGTTTTGTTTTTACTAGTTGTGGTGCTGAATGAGATGTGGGTGAAAATGACCCACCACCTTTCTATCTATGTGTCGCCCATCCGGCTCTCCGGCTGGCTGCCAGCTGAACTGGATCCAGGGTGGACCCATTCCCTCCTTACACTGGAATCCAGCTGGGGACCGACTGGTCTCCAGCTGATGCCTACACCTGTTCCACATGCGGATCCCAGCCCTCAGCCAGGTGG